GAAGCCAGACTTGAAAACAAATAAAAACTCTCCCTAGAAAAATGGAAGCATCATCTTCAAAACGAGAATGTGGGCCATCTATTCCATGGAGCAAATTTTTGGAATCTGCATAGACTTGGGAGTGGGTTTGACAGCATATTGCAACAAGAAAAATGGCTGCTGTCTGGCTAAGACTTGGGGGCTGCATGAAACGGCCTGAACACATCTATATATCTTGAACAAGTTGCTTTGCAAACAGGTCTGAACTAACAACACGGAAGGCCCACTGTTGAACAAACAAGCTGGCAACCTATATATCTCACAGAATGGATTTGGGAACCTGTCTCACCAAAAAGATGGTGGCATCAACGACCAAAACAAAGGGAGCTCCCTATTTCACAGAGCGAATTTTTGGAATCTGTCTGCATAGACTTGGGAATGATTTTGGAAACATGTTGCAACAAGACAAAAGGCGGCTGCCTGCTAAGATTTGGGGGCTGCGTCAACTGACACAGAAGTGGGCCATCGATCTAAGACAAGTGGCACTGCAAACAAGTTTGGACAACGACAACATTGCAGACCGACTGTTTAACAAACACCTGCACGATTTATCTCACGGAATGGGTTTGGGAACCTGTTTAAACGAGAAAAAATGGCAGCATCATCAATTAAAGGCAACAAAGCGGGCCATCTATTTCACAGATATGATATATTCTGGGAATCTGTCTGCATATACTTGGGAATGGGTTAGACAAGAAAAAACGGCTGCTGTCTGCATAAGATTTGGATGCTGCGTGAAACCATCTATCTTAAACAGGCTGCTCTGCAGATGCATTTGAACAATAACAAACGGAAGGCCCAGTGTTTGACAAACCAGCTGGCAACCTATCTCCAAGAATGGATTTGGGAACCTGTCTCAACAAAAAGATGGTGGTATCAACGACAAACGCAAAGTGGCCAACCTACTTCACAGAGTGACTTTTTCAAAATGAAATTCCACTGGCGGGTCAAACAAAAATGGATCCGTGACGGAAAACCCAAAAAATACAACGTGTAACAAGCTGGCCACAGGCGTGGATTTTGGCATTTTGTCTGCACAAGACTTGGGAATGAGTTTGCCAACCTGTTTCTTCCCGGCTACCTGATAAGATTTGCGGGCTGCGTCAAATAACACAGAAGTGCCGTCGATTTGAGACAAGCGTCACTGCCAACAAGTTTATGGAAGACCCACTGCTTAACAAACACGTGGACAATTTATCTCACTGAATGGGTTTGGGAACCTGTTTCAACGAGAACAAAATGGCGGCATCAAGCCGACAAAGTGGGCAATCAATCAATTTCATTGAGTGGATTCTTGCAACCTGTGTTCAAAAAATTACCGCGTCCTCTCCTGAAGCTCTGAAAACGTGTTCGAACAAAAAATGGGAAACCTGTTTCAACATCAAAATTGTTGCATCAACTTGAAACAACAAAGAGGGCAATCTATTTCGCAGATATATTTTTGGAATCTGTCTGAATATACTTGGGAATGGGTTAGACAAGAAAAAAATGAACGACATGGAAGACGCCCTGTTTAGATACGCAATGGCTGTTTGCAGAAAACTTGGAGGTTCCGCCAAATCACAAGACAAAGGTGTGGCATCTATAAATCTAGCACAAGCGGTTCTAAAAATGCGTTTGAACAACATGGACGACGCACTGTTTGAATACCCAACAGATCTTTGGAATCTATTCGCATGAGACTTGGAGGTTGCGTCAAATAAGAGAGAAGTGCGGCATCTATCCAGCACAAACGGCTCTGAAAGCGCTTTTGAACAACGCGGAAGGCCCATTCTTTGAACACCCAACGGATTCTTGGAATCTATCTGCAGAAGACTTGGAGGTGCCATCAAATTATAAGACAAAGGTGTGGCATCTGTATATCTAGCACAAGCGGCTCTGAAAATGCCTTTGAACACCGTGGAAGACCCACAGTTCAACAAGCAAGCGGGCGACCAATTTCGCAGAATTGTTTGGGAACTTGTCTCAACAAAAAGATGGTTGCATCGACTCGGCACAACAAACTGAGCCATGTGTTTCACAACATGTTCTCGGAACCTGTGCCAGGAATTTGAAGCATCTTGTGAGCAGTAGATTGATTGGGGAGCGCTTGACAGCGGAAACCTGGAGGCTGGCGTCATAACATAACGTAAACGGCGTGAAAGCACGGACGCATTTTGGACAATCGGCCTTAAGATTTTTAAAAGTTACAGCGGCCAAAAAAAACAAGCTTTCACCACAATAGGAATCCATAGGCTCAAATCAGCCAATGGCCACCGGCCAAAACTAGAAACACCCAACAAACCCTGCCCGCCGCCACGCCTTTTGTTTGCGTCCCACCGGCCAGCCCGACTAGGCTTGCTCGCAACGGTCCAGCCGGAAAATGAAAGAAGGCCTAGGCCAAGCTCACTCACCGTGAGTCCGGCACACCCTCCCCGGTTCTTGCGAGTGTGTCCGGCCCAGCCAATAAAAAGAGGCCCAGCACTCACCATCTTGAGGCCGCGGAAGCAAAGCTTCCTCAAAAGGTTCACCCGAAGGTTCCCCCCACGGGCGCTGCCAAGATGAGGTCCACACAAGCCGTCCCCAGATCGCTGGGTGGCGCTCCTGCACGGTCAACCGCGAGACCCCACCCCCACCCCCACCAGGCATGTGGTATACAGACCGAAACCTGCACACAGGGCCAGCGAAGCTGCCTTTTGTGCCACATGCCCAGCGAAGGCAGGCTGACTAACAAATCCCAACCAGCCCGAAGCAAGCAAGTCCAGTCAGCCCAGCCAGCAAGACACAAAACTTCACCGCAACACAGCACTCGCAAGTCAAAATCCAGTGGTTGGAGGCTCTGTGGACCTAACTTGGCACCAAGGCAATTTCTTTTTCAAGGACGGAAAGTGCTAGTGAGTTTTTTTGGAAGAATCAGTCTACGAACATGAACACATCTAGTCTGTCTTCCAGCCATGAGTGACATCGGTGCTTGGCCAGCTACTCACAGATCCCAAACACCTGACTCAAGTTTCAAACCATCAATTGCTGATGACAAGCTGTTCTTGTTCGATTTGTGTTGATTGCTCTACGGTATCTTTTTGAGCCCTTTTGTCAATTCATACAACATCCGGAAATGCCTTGATCTACTCTTTGCCTTGTTTGGGGCCGAGATAGAAACCACGCAAGGGTGTTATGCCATGTTATGACACCCCTGAACACACCCAAACTGACCCATTGAATTACCGATGGCAGAGAAACGCCAAGCGCACCGAGCCAACTGCAGAAATGTCCAACCAATCCAGGACGGTTCATGACGTACTAAAAGCCGGCTAAGAGGAACGACTCTTCTGCAAGACCGTCGTCTCAGAAATCAATCAAACTTGACAATTGTTGATGCAAAGGGATTCGATTGCAGAGGGATCTATGAGAGAACTCTCCTTCAATTGATGTCCCATGGGTTGTAGTTGTCAAGCTTCTCTTTATTTCTTATTTCGAACTCATCTAACTGTAACTACATTATCTTTACTCTCCGGAATTCCGTGCTCCCATCACCTATTCCGGAAATCTCGCCACTCCTGAGTATCATAACACTCTACGGAAAATACAACTGCCTTCAAACACCAAAATTGATGTTCCAGTTTCTCCTACTAACATGCCAGTATCCATCTAAACAGTCTAAAGTACAGCAAATAGATATACTACAATATATATATACAAATACATATATACTATATGTATTACACATACAGCATATATACAGTTTGAGCATGGAACAGGCTGGGACAGGCTAAGCAAATGAAAAAGTCTTGAGGTCAGCAGGTGCTTATCCTTGTTTGAGCCATCTATGTCGGAAACTGTTCCAATGATCTTGAAAGCATTCCCAAAGTCAAAGCAGCTGTCCTTTGCCACATCCTTCTTGCTAGAAGACTTGTCTCAAAATATGTTTAAGTCCTAACGCGTAAACAAACCCCTATGAATGTCTCATCATTCTTTAGCTGCCCGGGCCCTACTCCTGAATTCTTCTGCCCATCAATCACCATTATATTAGAAAATAAAACAAAACAATGATATGCGGATCTTGCCTGATCAAGCTGGCCACAATATTCTGAAACTTATCTTCGGAGGAAAACCTTATGAACAGTTTATGAACAAAGGAAAACTGCATGCGCACAGGGTCGCAACATGTCGCAACCATTTAGTGCTGCTTTTTAACCAATGGCAGCGCAGCACAGTCGACCGTGACCTTGAAGCCTCCTGCATCGTGCGACGTGTTGTTCGCGTGTTGACTTCGCCACGCATGAATGTTCCACATTTTGCGATGCATCGAACCCTGTGGTTTGTGCCATTCGATATGACATGCAATATCAATCAATATCGTATGTATATCATTTCCAGCAAGTCAAAGTCATCCATCACAACGGATAGCAGGATATTGGAGCCAAATCCTTGAAAGCACGCTACCAAAAGAAATGAGGGATATTAGAAGCCTCCCGGCACCACCTTCGTTGCCACTTCGTCAACCGCTATTCTCATGTCCAATTCACTTACAAGAGCACCAAGAGCACGCAGGAGGCAGGCCTCGTGATGGAAATTCCTGGCTCAAAACGAGCTGAAAGCTGGCAAATCCGACCCGGAAGCTTGAAAAATCTCGTGTTGAGGGTGCATCAAAAACAGGGTGAACACCTGTGTATTTTCAGGAACATCTTGGATAGTGATTATTTCTCTCTGGGAAGTGCTTTGACCAGCAAATCGGGTTCTATTTCTAATTTCTCTATCAAAGCTGCCTTTCCCTTTCAGTTCGCATCGTGCTCTTATCATGTGCATGGAAAGGCCTATGATATGTACCAATATAGTCTATACAATGCTCACAATGCTATGCAAGTGTAATTGTACAAACAAGAATAATTTAATGAAATCCTTGCGCTGCAATATTCTAAGAAACAAGATGAAGCCCACGAACCCGAATGCTCACACGTATGTTAATGGTACAGATGTCAAAACACATGGTTATGAAGTGACGCACAATACCTTTCTGCAATCGTTTATTTGAACAGTCTTGTGCATGTTTCCCTTGATACCAGTCTGCAGTGTGGAGTGGAAAGTGTAGAGTGTGGAGTGTAGAGTGTGGAGTGTGGAGTGTGGAGTGTAGAGTGTAGAGTGAGGAGTGTAAAGTGCAAAGTGTGGAGTGTGGAGTTTGTAAATTGTAGAGTGTGAAGTGTAGTGTGTAAAGTGTAGAGTGTGGAGTGTAGAGTGTAGCGTGTGGAGTGGAAAGTGTAGAGTGTGGTGTGTAGAGTGTGGAGTGTGGAGTGTAAAGTGTGGAGTGTAGAGTGTGGAGTGTGGAGTGTAAAGTGTAGAGTGTGGAGTGTAAAGTGTGGAGTGAGGAGTGTAAAGTAGAAAACGTGGAGTGTAAAGTGTAAAGTGTAGAGTGTAAAGTGTAGAGTGTGGAGTGTAGAGTGTAGCGTGTGGAGTGGAAAGTGTAGAGTGTGGTGTGTAGAGTGTGGAGTGTGGAGTGTAAAGTGTGGAGTGTAGAGTGTGGAGTGTAAAGTGTAGAGTGTGGAGTGTAGAGTGTGGAGTGTAAAGTGTGGAGTGAGGAGTGTAAAGTAGAAAGCGTGGAGTGTAAAGTGTAAAGTGTGGAGTGTAGAGTGTATAGTGTAGAGTATAAAGTGTAGAGTGTGGAGTCTAAAGTGTGGAGTGTAAAGTGTAGAGTGTGGAGTGTATAGTGAGGAGTGTAAAGTGTGCAGTGAGGAGTGTAAAGTGTGGAGTGTTGAGTGGAAAGTGTGAAACGTGGAGTGTAAAGTGTGGAGTGAGGAGTGTAAAGTGGAAAGCGTGGAGTGTAAAGTGTAAAGTGTGGAGTGTAGAGTGTATAGTGTAGAGTGTAAAGTGTAGAGTGTGGAGTGTGGAGTCTAAAGTGTGAAGTGTAAAGTGTAGAGTGTGGAGTGTATAGTGTGGAGTGTAAAGTGTGGAGTGAGGAGTGTAAAGTGTGGAGTGTGGAGTGTTGAGTGGAAAGTGTGAAGTGTGGAGTGTAAAGTGTGGAGTGAGGAGTGTAAAGTGTGGAGTGTGGAGTGAGGAGTGTAAAGTCTAAAGTGTGGAGTGTGGAGTGTACAGTAAAGGGAGGAGTGTGGAGTGTAAAGTGTAGAGTGTGGAGTGTAAAGTGTAGAGTGAGGAGTGAGGAGTGGAAAGTGTAGAGTGTAGTGAAAAGTGTGGAGTGTGGAGTGTAAAGTCTCAGGTGAGGAGTGGGGAGTGTAAAGTGCAAAGTGTAAAGTGTGGAGTGTAAAGTGTAGAGTGTGGAATCTAAAGTGTAAATTGTGGAGTGTGGAGTGTAAAGTGTAGAATGTGGAGTGCGGAGCTTCCCCCATAGACACGGCGACGCCACAGGAAAACGAGAGACTCGAGACGAGACACGTGGGTGCAAAAAAACGAGCATTTTGTGCGAGACTTCCTTCAATTTTGATATTTTCAACACATTATCAAACAGGTTGGAATGTCACAAAGTGCCACGCCTGCCACGCAAAACGACATGACAACCTGCTTGGACACATTCGAATAGGAGATGTTTTCCAGCTTCCCCCATAGACACAGCGACGCCACAGGAAAACCAGAGACTCGAGACAAGACACGTGGATGCAGAAAAACCAGCATTTCGTACGAGACTTCCTCCAATTTTGACATTTTTGACACATTATCAAACAGGTTGGAATGTCACAAAGTGCCACGCCTGCCACGCAAAACGACATGACAACCTGCTTGGACACATTCGAATAGGAGAGGTTTTCCAGCTTCCCCCATAGACACGGCGACGCCACAGGAAAACCAGCGACTCGAGACAAGACACGTGGATGCAGAAAAACCAGCATTTCGTACGAGACGTCCCCCAATTTTCACGGTTGGCAACATGACAAAAGGACAAGTGATGCAGCTTCCCCAATAGACACGGCGAGGCCACAGGAAAACCAGAGACTCGAGACGAGACAGGTGGGAGCACCAAAACGACCATTTCGTGCGAGACTTCCTCCAATTTTCATACTTTGCAGCTCCAAAATCGACGTTTTCCTACGAGTTTTCCTTAGAACCTGAAAATTTGTAACATCAAAATCGATGTTTCGTGCGAGGCTTCCGTCAATTTCCAACACATGTGAGAAAATGCCACGCCTGCCACGGAATTTGCACCTTGTCACCACTTGACGCAGCCCTGCCAATGCGATTTACAAAAAACACGCAAAAGGACACGTCTAAAGTGCTGCGCCTGCCACGAAAAATGACGATGGACACGCCCAAAGTGCTGCGCCTGCCACGAAAACTGCAACACATCTTCTGAAAACGTCGCAAAAGTATTGCGCCTGCCACGCGAAACGACTTTCGACACGTTGCAGAACACGTCTGAATGTCACGAAGTGGCACGCCTGCCACGCGAAACGAAGCAACCAGACGTCTGAAACCTCCAAAAAGGACCACCTCTGCAAAACTTCCCATAGGCACGGCCATACGGAGTTCGCGCGAACGGTTGCGGACGGTTGCGAACGGTTGCGAACGGTTGCGGACGCGGACGCAACGTCGAGCGAACACACCCTCAACCCCCAGACCCCCAGAGTGAAACGGGAACCCTTGCTACGCATTCGGGAAAAATACTCGCACGTGCAACTATGCTTCTCTCTACATACAAATATCGAATGATGCAAAAAAATATCTGCACTGGTCGACTCACTCCAAATTCCATTAAAACAACATGTCGATCTGATGATTTCAACAGCTTAGACATCATGAATCTGATACTTACTTATGGCATGCATCTGCTGATCCTTCGTCCCTTGTCGACTTCGAACTGGTTCCATAGCTTAATCAAGTAAACCATCCCCCTCTTTGAATCTATTCCCGATTTTCTCTCAATTCACCACAATATACAGCAGGCACAATAGTTTAAAATTAAAAGTCTCTGGCCAAAACAAACAAAATTTGTCATTTATATAATAGGTCAAACACAGTCAAGGATCACATCGTGAATTCAGAGCTAAATGCACTCAATGTATGTGCGTCTAAATGTCGGCTGCCAATGGACCCAAACAGTCAATGGACGCAAAAAAGTGTAACGTAACTCTTCACTCATTTTCTGTTTTTTTTTGACAACGATATCTTCGTTCCTCTGCATGCTTTGCCCCATGCCTGTCTCAAAACATCGTAGCGATCTAGAGAATATTTTTCCCAACACTAACCCGCATTTGAACAGAACCCTGGAACTTAAAAGAAGACACTGTATTGTGAACCCGTCCCAGCTACAGGCAGCTAAGTAGTGCTACGTGGTCTCGGCAGTCTTGACCTCTTCTTCCATTCTGGATCTATTATCAGCATAGCCTTGTCAAATGCCCTGCTGGTTGATGGATTCAGCCTGCAAGCAGTATGGCGGGTGGTAGGTGTACAGGCGGGCACAGGCGCAGCCAGAAGAGGCACTTACAGCGTTTTGACATTTTGGATATGTTTTTTTCCCCGGGATAGAATACAGTGAAGGCATAGTAAGGCTAGTATATACGATTCAAGCCTTTCAGTGTTTTGTATTCCCTGAGAGGGAGGGGGCGAAAGCCAGAAAGGGTTGAATGTGCGGAGCCCCTTCTTAAGCTCCCGGGGCTGGAGCTGGCTTTAACCGCGTCTGCTCCATACATGACATTGTTCCACCCCTCTCACATCTCCTCTAGCCCACACACACTTCATTAAGTGCTTTAATCCATCACAAGTTTCACTTAAATCCAACAAGACCCAAACATAAAATCCATGTAAAGCTCTTTTCTCTGTCTCTAGCTTCCAGACAGCATATCTGCTCCATACCTGACAGTGTTCACCCCCCTCGCAGCTCCTCTAGCCATCACACCTCCTTAAGCGCTTTATCATTCATCACAAGCTTCACCCAAGCCCAACAAAACCCAAGGATAAGATCCGTCAAAAGTTCAAGCATCGTGCCCCAAAACCCGTTGAACTTCAACAATCTACTAGTAAGCAACTTTAGTGGGTCCATCTAATACTTAAAATCTATAACTAATTTTATAGACAAATTTAGCCATCTTCAGCGCGGACCATATCAGAAAACCCTTGCTGTTCAGCCTCAGTTTGCGGGCCAAGGGGGAACCGAAGCCCTACCATCACCAAATTACCGCCTGGTACATGGCCCGGAACAGGCCTCCCATGATTTTCCACTTAAACCAATTGAATTTCCACCGTTTTGACAGCACTAGTCAGCCACTGCCGCCAGACCTCCTAAACGCATTACGCTGGCAACCAACAACAAAGCCTTGCCTGTCGCCTGGCTTTCGTAATTTTCGCGCGTCCTGCGCTTCCTTCTTGACGTGTTGCCCTCACAGTTCCTCTGCCCAACACTGAAGCGCTTTATCTATTAGAAGCTTCACCCAAATCTAACAAGACCCCCGTATAAGATCCATCAAAAGTCCAAGAATGAAATGCCCCCAAACCCGTTGAACTTCAACAATCTACTAGTAAACAACTCTAGCGGGTCCGTCTACGACGTCAAACATTTCTGAATCTTTACCCCACAAATAAATGAAAAAAGGCCACTGCACTGCCTGGCTTATCCATCTTCAGTGCCAAACCCAA